ATGGTAGTAGGCTCGTAGGTGTGATTTTTAACGAGTACCTAGGCTTGCTTTGCAATGAGGGATTTATCTTGCATATCATATCTAGCCAGTGGCCAGACTGTCATGTTGACCAAACTCATGAGAAAAAAAAAATGATAAGAGTTTTTGCACTGAGCTATGGGATTCCTGCAATGTATGGAAGGCCAGAAAAGTCATCTTTTTGCCCTTCCCCAAAAGCTTTTAGTCTTAATCCAGTGGGGCCATTTTTAAATTGTTTTACTTAAGCAGATCCAGGGAGAAGAGCACACCAGAACCTTGAGTTCATTGACAACTTTAACTGCCAGCTTCTCGCTGTCCCTGCAGTACCTCTGGCTGGGCAGCAGAGCTTCCTGGGCTGTTGGTCAGCGGGTGGGGAAGCCTTGGCAAACCTCTGCGGTGGTGTGGATGGCTGTGCTGACCGAAGAGATGTTTTATTGAGGAGGGCAGGAGCATGTTCCTGTGCATCAACAAAGCCCCAGTCCAGCTGACGACAAAACAAAGTACCCAGACAGGTAAAACTGACTCGGAGAACTTTGTTCCCTGAGCCCAAGTTTTAGTGTGCTGAGAAACATCTTCTACCAAGTCTGAGTTGAAGGGAGCATTTTTTCTTTCTGCAGAAAATTCCTGAGACAAAGCAAGACATTTTTAGCATCTCCCCAGAATTCAGATCCAATTTTAGATGGGGTTTTGTTTGCCTTTGACTAACAAGATTAACAGATCTCCTGTCTGTAGATGCAAAGTCTTTGAAAACAAACCAATGAAATCCACGTAACCTTTAGATGTTGAAGATTGATATTCCACTTGCTTCGAAGCCTTCATTTAGAAGATTAAAAAAAAAAAAAAATCCCTGAAGGGAAAACTGGTTTCCATTGTTTTAGTATCTCACAGATTTCGTATCACTAGTCTGAGTTGGGTAAAACCTACCTAAACTCACAGTCCCTGGAGATGTATTGTTAGTTAAAACTTCCTACCAAAAGCTTCCCACTCTTCTTGCTCCTTTAGCCAACTATGTGGCTATCAGGCTATAAAAATCAAACTAGCAAAACAGTACTGTTCAGGATGTTGCAGAGGTGGAATCTTTCTTACTCGTACATAGATGTTGGTATTAAACAAACAATGAAAGGCTGACTTAAAATTACTTATAGAGAGGGGCAGAGGATAATTTGCAGTGCCTGTAAAAGGAAATTGCTTGCTCAGTTCATCCCAGGTTTCCAGAAAGCACTTCACACTAGATTTCTTTCTACTTAAGCTGTTGTATCAGTCTTTATGCAGTTCCAGAGAAATTAAGCTGGAGAATTGGTTCTGTTCCCCAGCTGCGCGAAAACTTCAAACTTCTCCAATGCAGATATAATAATACAGGTGGGCAGATCCAGTGTGTTCTTCCAGGAAGAGTAGTTGCCAGGAACCTTGCACAATGAAATACCTGCTTGTCAGAGACGTACTAGGTCACAACGTTATTGCAGTCTATTTATATGTATTTTTCATTACAGCCAGAAACATTTCTGAAGTGCATTAAAAGTACTTTGCCATCACCCATGGCGTGAGATTGTCTGAGTACCTTGATTACAGTAGATTTCTGAGCAAAGTTTTGAGCTGAAAACTTCCGTACGTGTTCTACAACCTTCTAAAATGACATAGAACAGGAAATAAAAGACACCGCTGACGTTGTGGCAAGAACAGTGGAAGAAGCATAGAGAAGGCATCGTAATACTCTAATACTGTTCCCTGAGCTCTTTACCTGAAAGCCATGGACAGGGAATATTTAAACAGTGGTTAAAGGATGTATGTCCTAGAGTGAGTTCTGCCCATAAAGTCAGGCTTGGCTTGTAGTGATGGACAGGTACCAGGCACAGGTCATACTTAAATGCTTAAAACTTCCAGAAACGCTGGTAGTCATTGTTCTCACAGAAACTGCTGCGTGCAGGGTAGACTACATCTAGCAGTACAGACTGCTTAAAACAGGAGAATCCCTATTCTTACCTGATTTGGTGATTGGCTATCTAATATTAAAGTCCCTCTGGGTCTCATAACTTCATACTACAAACTGAAGGGGAAAGTCAATTTTGGGTTTCTTACCTGGTTTCTTACCTGGTTTTAAAAAGTCCTAAGCAAGACAGACTCAGTGCCTGGCATGATCAGAATGATAACAAAACTGTACAGTATCCATTAAAATGCATTTATTTGTTTTCATTCAAAGGTTTAACAACTATTTGCCCAGTGATCTGGGCCTAGGGCACAACAGCGCAAAAAAACATCAGACCAAAATACAAAACCAAGTACACAAATTACCCCTTATTTGTAAACGTTACCTCATAACCAAGTTTTAGCACATTAAAAAGTTTACAAAATTTATAACACTCTTACAAATTATTCAGAACTAACAGCATCGGTGGCAGTTGAGCCTCTCCACATCCATCCTTGCCCCTGCCAATACCATTCTGTGCCTGGGTAATGCCGCGCTTGAGCTAGAGGGGTGGGTGACTGGAACCCCAAGTCTGCCTTGTGCTGCAGCCCCGGGCCCGAGCAGCTCCAGCTCCCTTGCACAGTTTGGTTGGTGAGTGGTGTGGCTGTGCTCACTGTCCTGCCTGCTGCGTCCTCTGCAGCATTGAGAGAATGACTCAGTAAATGCAGAAATCGTTTTTTAAAAAGTACAAAATTGACCCTGAAGAAAAATAAAATCGTTTAAAAAACAGCTTGGCTTTGACTAAGTTACACTAAAAGCTGCAAGACAGATTTACAGCAATATCACTTTGACTACAAGATCACAAAAATCAACAGATTCGTTATGATTTTTTTTTCACTGTAAAAATGAAAACATCAAAGTTGACCTGTCTGCCTGTAGAAACCTTTTGCCTCCTATAAAGGGCTGACATATGCCCTCTTCCTGGGTTTTGGCCTTTTCAGAGCTTTGTTAACTATGAGGACTAATATAATTCCTAAGAATCCACCTCTAGTGAAACAACTGCAACAGTGAGAAAAACAGCACATCTATATTTCCATTAGCTACAGCTGCATAGGAAACAAATGCCTGCAGTTTAGATGCAAGACTTAAGACGTAAAGTACAGTAATTTAACAGTTGCAAATAGCCATTTCTGAAAGAAAAATACCATTGGGCTTTACAAAATTATATCAAATATACATAAATATCAAAACCCTGATTGTGGCCAGAAACAGATGGATAAATCTACAGTGAGGTACCCTGTGATCTTAAGGTATGCAAATGGACTGATTTTTCATGTCTCCCAACTTCAGCAGGGCAGCATCTGCGGAAGCACGGGTCGCCGCTGCTGACAAGCAGCTTTTGTCAAGCCCTAAGCAGCCGAACCAAAACCAAGCGTAGGCGTGTGGCCGCAGACTGGCTCTTCAGCGATCTACACACGCATGGTCAAGAGCTGTTATTTTTCACCTTTCAAAAGAAACAAGATGCAATTTTTTTCTTTGGTGCTTAAATAGGAGGAAGTTAAACAAATAGAGACAGCTCGAACGCTGTGTACGGTGTCTGAATCCTTAGAAATCAGCACTGCCCGGATCCTGGACAGCTAAAGCCTTGGCACAATACTTGCCGGATTCACAGGCCCGATTGCTCCATGTTATGGTGGGTACACAAACATTACTAGCTCACGTTTCTGCTTTGGAGGGCTACTTACTCTAGGGCTGCATAAACTAATCAGTAAACAAGTTTATTGTAGTTACTAATGCTTCATTTATGCATACATTTGGAGGCAAACTTAGTGGCAGAAAGTTATCAATTTCATCACTCTTTGTTTCTTTTGTTTGAAGTGCCTACAGTGCTACAAATTAGGAGAGGGCTCTGTTCAGATACCTTAATACACACCAGTATCTCTGTGAAGCCTAGGCATTGGCACTGCACAAAGTTTTTTTTATCTGGTACTGTGCCTGACCGGCTAGTGCCCAGCGAAGCAGCCCACTTCAGGGTGAGATTTTACAGTCGGCTTCAGCTACTGCTGCAAGGAATAGTCTGTCCAGCTGTATGGTCCCTCTCCTGCTCTGCTCCACAGCTGTTGCTAATGTTTTCAAAACTGTTAGTGCTGTGACTAAAGATCCAGGAACGTTTGCTCAAGGAGGACTAAGACTACCCTTTCAATTGTCTGTTGCACTGCTGCAATGTAAAATCTCATCACTAGGTACCAGGCAAACAGCTTCAAGTTATCTTGACGTAGTTTGTGTGTATAATACCATAGTAGAGAATGCCAGCTAGCTTCCAAGAGTAGTATAGTTCTGCTTTTTCAATATCCAGCATAGATAAACATAATAGCAACCAAAGAAATCGTCCGTATAGCATAACTGCCTCCAAAATGAACCATTCAGGGAAAAGAAATCATCAGCCTCTGCCAGGAAAGAGAATAAATAACCCCTATGGAGGTATTCTGCTTTTCCACTCAGACCAGTATCCTCCACACTGAACAAGCTCTGCCGGATACATATTCCAAACAGATACCAGAGACTGCTAAAGAATCAAGGATACGAAGTTCCATGACATTAGCTTCAGAAGTTTGTTCCCTTTCTGCTCCCATTCTGCCCTGTTCTTCACCTGTGAAGCTTGTGTCTCAGCTATGCTGATACGGTTTCTTGTGGCACCATACCATAAACCAGAATGAAATACTACATTCAAAAGGGACAAAGGGAGAGAGGGGGATAATTCAACTCTTGGGGCCCCCACTACAGGAAAGACACTGAGATGCTGGAGTGCGTCCAAAGAAGAGCAATGAAGCTGGGAAAGGATTTAGAGCACAAATTCTATGAGGAACAGCTGAGGGAACCAGGGTTGTTCAGCCCGGGGAAAATGAGGCTCCGGGGAGACCTCATCACTCCCAAAAAATACCTGAAAGGAGGTTGTAGCAAGGTGGGTCTCCATATCGTCTCTCAGGTAACAGGCAACAGGACAAGAGGAAATGGCCTCAAGTTGTACCAGGAGGGCTTTAGTTTGGATATTAGGAAAAATTTCTTCACCAAAAGGGTTGTCAAGCACTGGAACAGGCTGCCCAGGGAAGTGGTTGAGTCACCATCCCTGGAGGTGTTTAAAAGATGGGTGGATGTGGCCCTTAGGGACATGGTTTAGTGGTCGGCACTAGTGGCTGCCAGTGCTGGGTTTATGGTTAGACTCGATGATCTTAAAGGTCTTTTCCAACCTAAATGGTTCTATTTTAACTCAGCCAGTTTCACTGATATTGTACAACAAGCAAAGAAGCAACAGCTTACCGTCAAAAAGGTGAAGGTTCCATTGCCTTCCCATCACGCCTGACTCCCGCTGCACCATTCCACTCTTTTAGAGCAGCTCCAATACTTCTAAAATCCTTATGGAGTGTAGTAGTTGGCTTACCTCTCTATTTTTTTGCTGAATTACCTTGTTCAGTTAGCCCTTGTAGCAACTTAAATTGGTACAGAAGAGTTCAGCGAGCTCCAGAACCTGCACAGGTAAGGTTTGAAAGGGGACTCTGGGTGTGGCATTGGCTTCGATGAGCAGTTCTGTCACCATACTCCATGTTGTGACATTATGCCTGAAATTTCCAGTGTGACTCAAAACAACTGGCCCGGCATAACATGGAAAAGCACGAGTCAGAGCAGAGTGAGAGAGACCTGTGTGTGTGCTAGGGGGTGGGAGGGAAGGCAGGAGCGATCACAGTCACAGCGCCTCTGCTATCAAAGTCCATAGTCCAAGTGGTACAACTACTCCAAGAATCCTTTCATCCAAAGTGCCCCGGGGATCTCCCTCAGGTTGGCTGTATTTAACATTTAATCCCTGCTACTGAATTTTAAGTCAGAAAAGCTCACACATTTTGCATTCCAAGCAAACTGCCTGCAGTGAGTGAGACACCTGAGCTTATTTAAATGCTTCTGCAGTCTTAATTGACCAGAGGCAGTCAGTGGTGGCAAACAGCAGCAGTTTTATACTTGTTTAGAATGTGCTGAAGAATATGACTACAGATAGGAAATTCTGCTGGTTTGGACAAAAAAAAAAAAAAACAAAACTGCTACTTTCACATAACTCAGGAGTTTTTTCCAGTAGCTACAATATTGTGAAGAAAAAAAATAAACAGGAAAGATTCTTAAAAAACAAAACAAACACACAGAAAAAAAAAAAAAAAAAAAAAAAACAAAGAAAAAAACCAAAACAACCAACCAACCATAAGTGAAGTGAAGCAAATAATAATGCTAAATGACACTTGCAAAATTTGGCTAAAATCATTCTATTGTAATACCAAACATTCCTTCTAAGCAAGACTGAAGCCATCATAAGGCATTTTGCCAAATTCCTAAGTGAATAAATAAACTGTGATACACTCGACTAACTGTGGGGAGGGAAGAATCACTGGGTATTCCATTCAGCTATTCACAGGAGATGAAGTACATTAATAGTGGGCATGCCTTAACATCCAGCGCTGTGCATCTTGGCATCTCCCAGCAACATCCTGCATTTCATCCTGCAATACTGAATCTGCTGAAATAAACAGCAAGAACTTCTGTCACTTCAGCAGCTAATTAAGTGGTCTTCCACAGACGGATTCAGGCCTTCAATACCAACCGGTTCTTTCGTTAGGCCCCGCTCCACAAATACTTAGGCGGAATATGCCCAGTTTCACTGAGGCAGCAGTGAGACTCTCAGTGAAATTCGTTATGTACTTAGACATTTGCAGGGTCAACAATTGAAAATAACTCTCTATGGCTGGTAGTTCATGAGGTGCTTAGCTTTCTCAAGTTGAATTCTGATTAAAAACACAAGGAGCTGTATAGTCTGTATAACTAAGACTAGTTATACATGTTTGGTGGCCAGTTCAGGTATCTGTCAGGTTTTCACAATGTGAGAGCACAGTATATTTCCTATGTATATATATACACACACAGCCAGGCACAGAAGAAAGCCAGAAACCAGTTTGTAAATTAGAATGTGGGACAATATATTTCTGATTGAGGTGTATTGGTTTTTTAATCACACGGAGTAAAAATATTTGAAGTAGCCATTTGTTCCCTCTCCAATTAAAATTTTTCTTTCTTAAGAGGAAAAAAAAAAAAAAAAAGCCACTTCTTAATCTTACTTTTCCTTCTTGAGGTATAAATGACTGTACCTTAACTTCAGAATATATCTTCAGGTGATCCAGCTGGAGGAGGTACAATGGTTTTGTTTTATCTTACAAGTCACAGCTTTGACAACACAATGGATCTATAAATTGCAACACTTTTGTACAACAACATTCCTGCAGCCCTGAAACACAATAGTCTGCATAACAGACTCACAATTAACTATCTGGAGGAACATACTCAAGATTTCCTATCTTTCTGCCCAACAGTTTCTCCTCTAGCCTTGGAAAATTTGAACAGGTACACATAGTTTACTATTTATCATTCTGCCTATCTATGTCCTGTTCCCCAAAAGGCATGTTGACAGGAGGGTTTAGTCATACTAGTAAACTGGAACACTTTCTTTTCAGTAGAGGCCTCCACTGATTTGATGTTCCTTTTTATATCTGTAATTTAAAATCAGTATACAGAATGTATCAGAGCTGTAGAGAGAAAACCTAGTTTCATTTTGTTTCTTCACTAACCACTCTACTGAGTGAGGATCAGTGTAGATCACAGAGGAGGAATGTTTCAAAAGTTACTGAGTAAAAACCAGAAAATTCTGATGTTTACATTGGATTCTCTATCTCCACTCTCTCTCCCATCTAAGTGGAAGATTTTGTTCAGTCAGGTTAGAACAGTGAATGAAGTATCATAGCTTAAACGTAATATGGTCTTTTGAAATTACTTCAACACGGTGTTTTTCCACTCACTCAAACAAAAGCATCTCCAGAGCATCAAGATCTGATGGGACTTAGCCAGATAGATATTTATCCGCAGCAGCTTAGAAATGAAGTAGTCAATTAAAAAAAGAAAAAAAAAAAAAAAGTAATTTTTGAATGAGTTATTGTTCCCCAACATTTTCAACCAGCTTAAATAAAATACAGTAGAACCCCACTGTTTCACACTTACGACTGGGAGATAAAGTCTACGTTGTTTCACTGTGACCATTTAGCAAGATTCAAGTGCTCAGAGTTAAGCCAGGATGATGCACTCAACCCGTGTTCTGTTCACATCAGTGGAGTGTTGTAATTCAGCTTTATCTCCTACGATATAAGTATACTTACGTTTAATGGAATAGAAGTCAAAACGAGGTAGCACTGCCACTCTCTGTTGGAATGTGGACAGATCCTGGCCTAATTTTAAACGGTGGTTTAGCAAGATTCTACTGTAATCTACACAAAAGGTATAAAACACGAACCTTTTCCAGAGTAAGGCCACTAATTTTGCCACTGGCAATAGGCAGTGAGAAACAGCAGTTAAAAAAAACCTCACTTCGTTATAGAGGTGTTTCTGAGGCAATAAACTGTGGGGAGAAGTATAAACACATTGTCCTCTCATCCCTCCTCTTTGTTTTCCAGTATAAGTATCTCTGCTTCCTGTATGCACTACTCCATGGGGAGAAATTTCAGTCTATTTTCTTAGCGGGGAGTCTAAGCAAGTCCACGCTACATTTAAAGATGGGGCCAGCAGTGTAAAACAGTAGGATTACAAGCTTCCCATGAGTCATGGTCATGACAGTCTGATGTCCAGATGCCCAGATTCGATACCAGGGCCCATAAAATGGATCTGAGACGGCTGGGCACAACATGTTGTTCAAATTCACTTCTGTAACCTGAGAAAGTGACAACAGATTTATCAATTAACAGTATTTTTGTGTTGCACTGATTCAGACACCTAAAATGGTAATCTTGAAATTACCATAGTAATAAAAAATGTTTAGGTGACACTCCTTTGTTCAACACAAGTAGGGCAGCTTTCAGATGAAAAGCAGATCCAAATTCAGTTGTGCATTTAACAGATGGATTTATGCAAGTACATAACCAATTTATGGAAATATTTTACCAATACTTGTGAGATACGAGATACAAGTGCCCATCAGAACATGCAATTTGCATGCAAGTAGTCTTACCCATATATATCTGCACACTTTGGAAAACTAGTCAGTGTTTTTACTTTGAATGTACTTGCAAACTATCCACTTATTGATCTATATTTACTTACCAATCCCAGAATCTGCAAGATGCTAAAATGATAGACAAACATAAACCCCGTGGATAAAAGAGCCCACCAGAAATTGCAGAGTGGTTCTGGAGTGTAGATACCTTGAAAAGAAAGGAATACATTAGTATTCAGCTGAATTGCTGTGTCCATCAAACACTCATGAATAATCCTCTCTCTTCTGCTCTGTGGATGTTTGGGCAACTGGCTTTAGCTGATAACCTACTCAATACCATTACAGTAATTAATATTTGAGCACCTTATTTCTCACCTGGTGTGTCCTCATCAGTTTGTTCCCACCTTCCGGTCCAGCAGTAAATCATACAATAGGTAACCTCATTAAGCTTGCCTATTCTTCACCATCACCAGTGATTTTTGCCTCATTCTGCCTTCTACCACAGAAGTATACTAAATTATTTTAAAATACAGTAATGGCATACAATTAATCCTAAAAAAAAATCAGGTTGTTTATACTTAAACACCTGATTCTTAGGGGGGCTATGACTTCAGCATGCACAGAACCAACCCAAGTAGTGGCAGTTCCTGCACAGCACTCTAACAGAGCATAGCCTAGTTGTCATTCCCTAATTTTATGGCTGTTTAACAACTATTAAAAAGGAACTTGCACCAATAATGCCTAGGAACAGAAAAGCTGTGTAAAATAGTCAATCCATTAATGACAGACTGTTCTTTTAAATGAAAACTGCTGTGGAGATATTTTCGGATACACACTACAAACAATTTTATTATCATTAGATGTCACAGATACTGTAAAATAATTTTTTCCCTTCAAATTAAGTAGCAAATATCACATTATTCCTGGGTTCACCTTTCTCTCCTCCTGAAACTAGGTTTTACCAATTTACTGACAAAACACAATGTCACGTGATCTAGAATGTACCAAGGAAATCAGATCTAATAAAAAGTACCCTTAGGTACAGGCCTATTTTTGGAATTAAATATTCAAACATCATATGGTGAGAACAAAAACAGTTTACAGAGTTCTCAAGACTCTTACTAGCAGACATGAAAATTTCGGTGTGAGATATGGGGAGAAATACTGTTTTGCTTATGACTTTAATAACCTAGTGACGCAGAAGAAAAAGATGCAGAAAGTCACGTTGCTCAGTTGCCATAAGAAGTAGAGTTTCAGACGATTATAAAAATGCACTGGCATTTTTTATCTGCCTTTGCTCTCTGATCCGTTAGATATTATTAAATATTGGAATGTGTATCCAGTACTCGAAGGACAGCTTACAGCACAGAGTGCAATATTCATATTAGCCTTTGCTAGCTAGTAATTGCACACTCAGTAATTACCAGGAAGATTCAACAGACTTCAGCATATACTGTACAAGCCTACTGGGAACTTGGATAACTACACACGTACAGCAAGCTATGACAGAACTCGCCAGACTAAAGCTGCTGAGTATGCCTCTGTATGGTATCGTGTGTAGATAAAGGCAAATAACTGCTGTTACTTGCTTTACCACACCACTATATAATGGTGCATCTTGTCTCAGGTTTAAAATCCCTAGAGGACTGCTTTCTCGATCCCTGTTGCCCTTTTACAATTCTTTTCTGCATAGTTTTCTTCCACAGTTTGTACCCATCATGCCAGCTCAGACTGATTTTTCAGCAGCTACATGAAATTATCCAATTTCAATATCATTTTGTGAATGTTACAAATTCATAATTACCTACACTTTCTTATCTAAAACTGTACATCTATTCATTGTCCACTCAAAATAACATAGCTTCTCTGTTGCTAGTCAGAGAGTAAGGAGTTGATTGCATGCTTGAATGGCAGCAGCACATATGCACCCCATATATCACTCGCTGACTTTAACGAGCAACAATAATAGTGTAATTGCCCAAGATACGGCTGCACACCATGTTTTAGTAAGCAAGCTGTGACTTGGTGCAACCATGATCGATATGAGCAGAGAAGCTACTTTAAAAGCATAAGGCAGCTTATAAGATTTCTTATCCAGTGGGTAGGTGAAGGTCAGAAGAAGCGTCTGAACTATAAGCAAATTCTAAAGGTAAAACTGAACTCTACGTGAATAACTAAGTGGAGTGTTCTATAAGTAAAGGGAAAAAATTCACAACAGTCTAATTCTTTGGACATACTTAGCAAGCATGATCTAAGAACTGGCATCCTATTTAGAAGACAGTACAGGAGACTTTACTTAAATAGCAATGATATTCATTAAACAACACTGCCTGAAAACATCAGATACGTGATACCACCTTGAATATGTTTTTTCATTACAGAGAGCAAGAGAAGAAGCATCTAGCCTTGGTGTCAGAGTTCAGGAGACCATGGCTCTGTTTTTGGCTACACCAACTTTAAGTGACCTGGTCAAGCTATACAGAAACTCTTTGTGCTTCCTCCTCAGCTGCAGAGTAAAGAAAACACTGTTTGACTTGCAAAGTTTTTTTGTAATGTCTTTGCAGTTTTAGGTGCACGTTTAACCTAGATGCAAAACACAAAATAAAATTTAAATAAGGTAGCCTAGAACAGCTCCTGGGAACTGGCAGTGTAGTGCTATACCAAATCCGCTCTCAGGTGAATTTGCCTGGTTGGCAGTTGCCTGTGATATTTCAAAAGTATTTGATAAAGCCTGAGAACAGATGGTAGTAGTCTGAAGAGGTAAACCCTCAGTAAAGCTAGAATCCAGAGACCTTGATATTTGGGGGACTTACAGTGCAGGTGCTATGTAACACTAAAATTGACAAGCGAAGCCAGCTATGAAATAAGACTGGAGGGAGAAAGCAGTCATTAAAAGACTAAGGAAATGGCACAAGATGACAGAACAGATCAGTGGCATAATTTGGCTTTGAACCCGAGCTTCTCATGTCCAGCTTCAATCTAGTCAGGGAATCATGTTTCAGAAGCCACTTCGGAGAGCTGTTCAGGTTCCTCCAGCAAATAATTTCATCCTGCTACATCCTCCCTTTGTTGCAAAACTTCAAAAAATACATTAGCAATTCTCACCTTCTACAGACTTTTGATCTCGCTTTGTAACAGAAAAATCCCTCCTTGCCAGACTTTGCAATCCAAAAAATAATAGTGTCATTTTCAGCAGTATCATTATTTGGACATCAGGGGACAAGAAAAAAACAATGACCTCCACACAGAAACATTTCAGAGAGCTCTGGATTCCCAAGCGTGCTTTGGGAAACTAATTTTAAATTCATACCTGGGATATTTTCTGTACATTTCTTGTTAGATAAATAATCACTACAGATTTTATTATCCTGCAGCCCTGCTATTCCACAGATGACTGTTTAACAGAGCAGTGTGGTCTGTTTTCTGTAGTACACAGTTTGTTGACAAAAACAAACAGGAGAACTGAGACGCAGCTGATCGGTTGGTTGAATGGTCTGTGTTGGCTTTGGCAAAAGCTACTTGCTGCTTACACAGAAATTCTGTTTCAGTAGGTAGCAGTGAGTTTCCCTCTCTATTCACTAAGGATCACAGACAATTCTTATAGGTTAAACACTTTCAAAAATCTAATCCAACTGCCAGTCTGGCACTAATTTCATTCTCATAAATGCTCATGCCCCAAACAGTTGAGACCGTTCCAAATCAGGGTCATCCAGGTAGGCTGTATATTTGCCCTTGTGTTGAAACAGCATGGCACTGCATATTTCAGTTTAATTTAAACTTCATTATTTCAATAGCATTGATAGGAAGGATTTCATATAGATTGAAGCGTTTGGGGTTCATCAACTGCTGTTGCAATGACAATTTCTTGACCTTGAACATGCCAGGTGGTTAATTTTGCATGGCTTTAAATGGAAGCATGGCTTTAAAAATCTAGAGATCAACAAAGAGACTCAATTTCTTTTATACTGCTTCCCCCTGCAGTGTCTTGTGCCAGTTCTAGTGTTCTTATGAACTATTATTTTTAATTAAAGTTCTCAAAACATAGGCTTGTAAAAATTAGAACGCAACTTAATAGAAAGTAATACACCTTTTGTATTTCTGGGAAAGCATAATGCAGGAAAAAATTACTCCTCTGTTTGAATTAGAGAATTAGAACCTAAATATAGCACAATTTAGTAGGGTGTTAAAATAATCTCTTTTTCTTAATTAATGTCTTGCTTTCATTCCCATTACATTTGATAGAGCTTTACCAGTTTTCCAGCCCAGCACACACTCCTTCAGTAGTCTCACAATTACAGGTAGAACTGCTTAATCCAAAACTCAGAGCAACTATTACAATTCCTTCATTTTCAAGCTTATAACAATGTGAGGGCAAATTTATTTCCATTTTATTTCCCTTGATCAAAGGGTTGATTCTAGTAGTGTGGCCTACTGAGCTAGCCTAGAGACCAAACTTCCTTTCCAGGGGAAAACAGGAAAAACATTCTCAAGAGGATGAGCCTGAAATCCCGTTTCCCCTACAGCTGTTCTGAATCTGTGTGTAGCTTTCAAAATACTGCCTTATGCCAGGAGATTTCTATTTCCCTCAATGCCAGCTACACTCACCAGAATCAGCTCAGACAGGGGTCTTGTATTACCTGCTCCTCACAGGAACCATTTTTTATATTCCATAAAGCAGCAGCAGTTCTTCCATATACTGGTACATACACTTCTAAACTATTCTATCTCCTAGAGGGGTCTTTAACAGACCTTGGGCCCACTCAGAGAATGCCACATTAGCCTCCTTATTTAGTTTTAAGTGTTTCATAATAGGCTACCATCCTATCAATGGAACTGTAACTGCCCAGTGCATAAAGCTCAGAGAGTCACGTGACAGAGACATGTCCCTTCCTCTTCCTCTCCAGCTCTCTGATATCATCAAACAAGATTATCCTGAAACGACGAAGCTACAAGAGAGCTTGCAGCATGAGCCTGCAGCCAGAGCAGCAGCTCCCCTCCCGCTGCCGCCGGAGCACAAGCACAACTGGATGGGGAGCCATGCACTCGCGTCTCTCACATGGGATTCGGGGGGCAGAGAAAAGCTGGAAGCTGGCAGCAGGAGAGGAAGACACAAGAGTTGACAGGTCTCCAAGTAATTAAGAGGTACAGTGAAATAGCTGTACCACACATTATCAAGTATTTCAATGTGGATAAACGAGATTTTATGAC